CACTTCTATTACGTAAGAAAAAGCTGAAGTTCGCCCTAAACCAAGTTTAGAAAAAGATGGAAACCAGTTGATTGCTTCTAACAATAAGTCATGTTGTTCAGTATATAATGTCCTCAAGGGAGTGACATCTAAGGCAGAAAGGCGCTCTGATACAAAACATGAAGGCAGCAAGTCGAAGGTTTTCCAGAAATCAATTCCCAAATATAGGTCTTGTGACAAGGAGGGAACAAGGTATAAGGTCAACCGATGTGATTTCCCACGAAATTTGAGTTCGGTGGTTATTTTTCCGATTATTTCCTGCGCTTTGCCATCGGCAGTGCGAACATTCGACCCTAAAGCTTTGTATAGGTGTTTTGATTCAATGAATTCTTGAGCAAAACGACCTCCGATACAGCTTATCGATGCGCCTGTGTCAAGCAAGCCGTTAACAGTTTTGCCTAAAATAAAAACATCGGCATAAGGTCTAATGTCCTGGGAGTTGGCTACTACTGTTGAAGACAATATCTTTCGTTCCTGTCTGCACATTTTATGAAATGCAGTGCGCCGGGCAACGGAGCGCGACACATTGTTTGAGTTTTCATCCTTGTGGATTGGTTGGTCGAATTCTGGGGAGATATAATCCTGATTTTGAACGTCTGGTAAAAAGGAAATTATAAGTGGAGAAGTGGTTGATGTGTCACTAACAACATCTAGTCGGTATTGGTTGCTTTCGAGCTCATCTGTTTGCGTGCACTTTTCGGCTGTGCACGGGCTACCCAGTTTTTTGAACTATTACATTTTTTACAGGACGGCTTGTATGTATCCGCCTTTCCACAGCCGTAGCAAAATACGCGACGAACCGGGCTATCGCAATCCTGGTAGCGGTGACCAGTTGCTTCACAATTCCAGCACACTAAATTAAGGGCGGCTATTCCCATTTCTTCGTCATCCGATACCTCGGTTTCTGTTTCACACTCTACCTGACATTGAACTGCATTGACAGATCGGCGCGGCATCGGCACTGGACGAGATTTTGGTAAAGCGTGATTTCCTACCGTTTGTAGGAAGATCTCTCGAGTTCTGACAAAATGCCGAAGTTTTGATATGCTGAGTATTTCCTCATATAGGAGTTCATGCTGAATATCCAGGCGCAAATTAGACCTAAGCGACTCTAAGAGAGAAGATTCCGACAT